TTACATGTTGTCTTATGGAATTGTCCTGCAAATCCGCCAGTGGTGGCTGCGTCAACTAATTTTCTCCCATTTGACTTAACATGCAAAGTCCGGAAAAATGGTGGCAGCACTTAACTTGCGCACAGCGAATTGCAGTGTTTTTTCAATATATTTTTACTTATTTCATAAATTTATGATCTATCATTACAAATGCAGTATTCTGGAATGTTTACATACTTTTTGATTTTGCAAGGTTATCATATTTGTTTAATTTAAACCCAGCTGTTAGATGTGTTTTGTAGTTTTCTATAACATTTTTAATGTTATCTTATTTGAATATTAATTTTGGTTTGTTTTCATTATAAACAGCTAAATATACTACTGTATGACTTATACCATAAATTATAAATTCTTGAAATCTTTAAGTTTCTTCCATCAGACCCACATATCTACCATCAACGTAACTATTAATTTTATTAAATGTTTCTTCGTCTTTGTATTTAATTTTTGAATTTTGATCTACACTTTGCCCCTACATTTATATACATTGTTATAAATACATCTTATGCTTCAAATAGATGCACAGAACTCGACGTTAACACAACTTTTATATTATACTAACAAAAGTTCATTATACGGTACAACCATCGAATTATCCTTTAGATTTTTATCTTTCCTTCAAAGTTTATAAACGTGTTGTTCAGAAGTATTATTTTCTTTTGGATATTCGAGGTAATTTTTGATTAATTATACGAGGACTTTGTTGTGTATTAGATCCGTGAAGCATGTGTTTAATCGCTAATTTTGTAAGTTTTGTATTACCAGAAGAAATGTCAGCTGAAATAATTGCATTAATTAGTTCAGGTGTAATATTTTTTTACCAGGATGCAAAGTTACTAAAATATATGCATAAGGTAGACCACGTGTTTGGAACTCGATTGTGTAGACGTATGCTAAAACTTTACCAAATATATCATTTTGAATGATGTTATCAAAAACTGACATTAATTTCAAGTGAAATAGCTTCAATCCTTGCAATTTAGGGTGACATATTACTGTTATAAATACATCTGGTCAACCAAATTTTCTTGTAATAGACATGGCTTCTCAAAAATGTTTCGGCATACATCTTAGATTTTTGATATGTATAGATGGGAGCATGAAAATATTTCCAATTCTTTCTTTTCTCTTTTAAAAACGTTAAATGCACTACTTAAAATTAGAACTAAGAAACCGGGGTAACATTTCATTCTTATACATATCTCAAATAATTTAAACGGTTATGTTCTATCATCATGTAAAAACAAATAAAAAACTGATGTGTCAACCGTTGCCCATATAATAACAGATTAAAATTTATTTTTTTTGGTCTGTAAGACAGTCTGTGTAAATAATGTTGTAACATAGTTAGTTTTTCGCTTTCATTTAAGTAATTTTTTAAATTACCAGTTCTTTACCCTAAGCCTCCTAAGAAAAAAAAATGAAAGCACCATAGAATCGATATAATAAAATAGTTCATGTATAGTTGTAAAATATTTTTCCACGGAAGTATGGGGCATTTCACATAACACATTTTATCAAAACGTAAAAATTTTCACGTTAAATGAAGTTTTAACGTATACTATGAAAGACATTTTTTTTAATCTTTACATATCAATATGATTATAATAATAATAACAATAGTAATAATAAAAATAATGATAATTATTTTTAAAAAGTCAAAGCAAGATAAACTTTGTAATTAGGAATAGGGTAAAAACTAATTTCCACAACAATTATATATTAAAAAAAAAAGTTTTTTAACATTATTTGTGTCTATGAAGCTGATCCAGCTGCCTCATTGGAGGAGTGAAAATGATAAATATTGTATCATTTAAATAATATATTTTGAAAATATATAATAAAGTAAAAGTAAATTTTTGCGAAATGATTCTTTGAATATACATTAAGTTGATGTACATAAGCAAGCGATTAACTTTTTGTTAAACGAGCTCTACAACTTCAGTATTTTTTTTGTGCTGTTTTTGCATATATTTTGCTTTATAAAGCGTTTGCATTGCGACCTACAGCATAGTGTATGCTGCAAAAAAGTTATACTTCAATGAGATTTACGACTCTGTCTTAAAACGCGAACGTGTAAATGGTATCAAAAAAAATTATCGCAGAAAACTAGGAAGACATCCAACTAGAACTTACGAATAAAATGTTGACTTATTTGGATTCTAGTTAATTGAATTAGTCGAGAAACTTGATGACGTACATACATCCCTCCACACGTGCACTATGTAACCAACTAAAATCACCCTTATACTAAGTTAAAAGTTTATTTGAAATAAAAAATATACGAATTATAAGTGGTTACATTTTTTGCTCTGAAAAAATTGTAAGGCACTCTCAGATATTGCCCATACCTAAAAAGTGAGTATATTGAAGAACTATTATCATGTAAACATTTTAAAAGAATGCCATATTATAAAATTTAATGATAAAGTGGTCATTATTTGTTTAAGTTAAAAAACACAATTAAGAAGAACATTTAATTTCAAGAATAACCATAGGCACTTACGAAAACATTGAAAAATATTTTTAGAAGAATTAACTTAATATAAAATCATAAGGTTTTATATAACAACTTAAAAAAAAAAAAAAAATAAAAAATACCATTTTGATAATATTTTTGTAATGTATAATTTATAATCGTCATGACTTACATAATTTAGTAATAGTCAGTAAGATTACCAAAAACAAAAAAAAAACTTTTTGAATCAGTTTATAACTTAAAGTTACCCTTTGTTTATGGGGTGTTAGTGTGCGAAACGTATTTTTTTTTTATATTCGCATTCGCTTATTTCGAAAAAAATTTTTTTGCCTGTACTTAACGGCTTATCAGTTTTACATAGTACCTGTGTTAGAAATACATTGTAATCTTTATTATTTTTTGGCCAACAGAAACATTTATTTTTTCTCTCTAAAAATTTTACAAATAATGAATTTTTATCTAATTTTTCAATTTCTCCAGGCCACTTATCGTAAATTACTATCACCCACTCTCCACTTTAAACTTTTAACTGATTGAAACGGTGAAATATTATCTTTATTAACATTTACAACACTTTCTTTTACGTCATATGTTACTGTACTGTCAATTCGATAATGTGTACAACCAGTTTTAACTTTACAAATAGAGCACGACAAGTAGTTGAATGATAGGCTTTTGCTATTACATTTGGACCACATGACTTGATGAACTTTTGAAGTTCCTTAAACTGGTTTTAAATTATCAGGAACAAGAATATCAAAATTTTTAATGTCTTTTTCATCAATACGAAATGAATTTATTTTACTGTTTGATTTATTGATGCAGTCCACCATATCTTTTGCACATAAAATATCATGGCCAAAAGTCACATGTCTATCGCACATTTGTTTGACTGGGCCTTCAATCGCATCGGCTACAATTTTGCCATAACCAGCAGCTGTATAATTTCACGTAGCGCTTGATAGATTAAGTTTGTTACAGAAATAATGTAGGAGATAAAAATTTATTCTATTTTTCTACTGTGTCGATGGACCATCAGATTGAAAATGTATCGTTTTTATATCAGGCATTACTGATTGAATTTTTTCAAGTATTGGTCCCATAAGAGCCCATGCAGACTTTGCATCGTGTTGCAAATAATCTGACATAACGGAAAAAGATTCAAAAGATACATCATTTTTATCGTTTTCATAATAAAATCCACCTGTTTGCAAGGACATTTGTTTTTTGGAAGCACCAAAATAAGTGTAAGGAAAAAGAAGCGCGTAAAATTTCAAAATATCGAACAGCGATTAATTAACATGATTGTATAAGTGAGCTAAACCCTATTTAAGAAAGTAATCGTCATATAAACGGACCTCGTATTCGTGACCAGAGACTCCGAAAACCCCCGAGAGACGATTTCCGAAGCCAAATTATAATTTTTTAAATGATTTCCTGTAACTAGGGGTGGTTTTAGGGGTTAAAACCACCCCTGTACATAAATGAACCTCGAATTCATACTCAGCAACTCGAAAAACCTCCGAGAGACGATTTCTGCGTTGAAATAACAAATATTTTTTCAATAATTCTTGGTTTTGCACTTCATGGGGATGGTTTGGAGGAGTTAATTCACCCTTATTATTCAATATTTTAAGGTAACGCAAGGGTCAGTAGTGATTAATGTTCCTAAACGTCTACAGAATGCGGGATAATAAAATTATTTAAATCGGTGCTGTTCCAGAACTTTACATGTGACAGTTTTTCCGGCTTCTTTACTTTCGGTAATTAGATATTCATAATCTTGTGTGCCGTAAAAAACTGTGTCACAAAGCCTAAAGTTCTGGTACACGATTTTTCCCTTGTTTCTGGGGGTAGATAGAGCAAGAAAAAATTTATTTTAAAGGTGTGCCTTAAAAAAAAATTTAATTTTTGTTTTTTGACGCGTAAGGGGCAAATTTGGATTGGATTTCATCCTATACATAGTAGAAGACGTTAAAATTCAAAGTAAGATATGTTCAATATATTGCGAGGATAATCAAAAATTCATTAAATAGTTGCCTAGATGACTCGTGAGTTCGAAACAACTAGGCTTTGGAATTATTGGTAACACACATCTATGATAAAGTTATAAATTTTCCGGTATTACAAAGGCATGCTAATATGAATAAAATAATGATAATCATTCGATATTTTCAAAATTTTATGTCAGTGAACGTTAATTTGCTTTCTTCACGATGCTTTCTTTTTAAGAAAAATCTCTAGTAAGCGAACGCATTATTTAAAAACATTTTTATAAGTATGTTAGAAATTTATATGAAAAGTGCAAAAAAGTTTGACTTTCTTAATTTTCACCACCCACACAAAGCAGAAAATATTGCTGCAATAGTATTACCTTTCTCAGACACTAAAACTTAGTTTCTACAGATAAATTCGTGTAATGGCCTCTTTTGCGTACTTTTATTTCACATAAAATTTTTAAAAATTTCACAAAACAACTCACTTTTCATGAAGTTTGATGACTCGATGGACTATAGGTATATCGCGGCCATTTACTTTGAACACTACTATTTCTCCAACTTTTACTGATTCATCATGGTAGTTTGTTAAAAATAGTAAATCACCTCGATGAAAGGCTGGTTCCATGCTTCCACTGTAAATGTAAGTTCAAATCGCATAAGTTGTTGTATCGGGCCATTTTACATCAATTTTTATTTAAAAATATGAAATTAAATACATTATTTTGGATAAGTTATTAGAAAACATGGAATGATGAAATAAAACATATTTACAAAATAGAAATATTACTGAAAAACAAGTGTAAAGCATGTGTATATTTTTTATCACGTAACCTAAGTCACAAAGCCATGAAAAATAATGTACATGCTGATTTTGTTGACTTTGGCGATGCTTCTGCTACAGTAGTACGCGAAAAAATCTCGACAGTGATAAATAATATTCAAAAATAAAATGATGAAAAATGAAATAAAAAAAAAAAATCTTTAGTAAGTATGTTAAAGTAAAAATTCAAGAAGTGCATGAAAAAAATGATAAAAACGGTAAAAGCTCAGAATAAGGTGCAGCATAAAAAAATTTTTTTTTTTTTATTCAACAGCCGTTCTGGCGAATTGTGCGTCCAACGGCTCTGCATTACTGTGTTACTCTGCACGTCTATGCTATCGTCATTAGCATAGTGAAAATCCACTTCGAATCCAAGTTTTCTAAAAGTGCGAACCAAGTGAGTAAAGGCCAGGACTTGACCTTGTAAGCGTATATAACAAAGCCTCCCCCCCTCCAGAAATCAGAACCGTAGTCTAAACCAGTGCACTACTTAAGTCGCATGTAACATTATGAAAGCAGTGTATAAGGCACGGTACAAAGAGACGGTCAGTATAAGAGTAATAGCACCAGTGAGCCATGAGTAAATAAGAAACTGTTATTTAAAGCTGGAGCAACGTGTCACGTTACTATGAGCGCTGCATTACGTGGACTGAACAAAGATATAACTCAGTGCTTTTCTGCTCGTGGGACCACGGTGATTCCAAGGGCGCAAAGTTTGGCTTGAGGGCGCAAAGCGACAGTTACACTTTGGCTTATGGTAAGAGAAAACTTTTTTTCTAGCAACTTTAAATACTTGAGAGTATGTATTAACTACATTCAAATTAGTCTATCACTGATTTTTGAGGTATAACTCAGTTAGTAAGGTGTACGTGTATACTTACACTAATATTACACTGTGCACACTACTTTTTTCACTAACTTTTCCACGAAGGAGTATACTATTTCTTTTAGTAGGTAAACTACAAGGATTATAATGCATTAAGGAGGATAATTCAGTGAGGAGACTAATCCAGGTAGTGGACTCAAATCCTTACAGGGATTTTTCGGCCTGGTGGCCGCAAATGCCACTGCATTGAGAGTAGCACTACCATACTACCTTCACTCCTTACTGCGCACATTACTGCGCAGTAGCAGCAAACAGCACATAGGTGCTATTGGTACACAGTAGTTTCACTGCTGAACTTGCTACTCTCAGGTGTTCGCTCTCGCCTGATGTGGTCGTGCTGCCATAAAGTATGTGCATTGTATTGCTGCTGGTGTCGTCAGTGCCACTCTCAAGTATCTTCGACGTCATTTTCCTTGATATTTCTTACAATATTTCTTACTATAACATCTTTTACTTCTGTACCTACTTGGTCTCTTCAGTGGCTAATGTCAACCATGGCGTCGCCTCTTTGATCGCCTCATCGTTGACCTCTATAAAAATGCACCTTAGGACCTCTATAAAAATACACCTGGCTGGACCCTTAATAAATGAAAACAAAACAATAAAAAATAAAGACAAGTGCCAATAACTACGTCACCTGGGTCACTTGCCAGACACTATACAAATAAACAGAGCATTGATTAATAACACAAACGCCAATTACCAGATAACCTAGAGTACTTAATACCCACTTCATAAATTAAATAAAAACACAAAAAAAGAGCCACGCAAGAGCCATTTACCAAGTAACATGCGGCATTTACTGGTAACGCTAATAATTAATAACACAAGCGCCGGTAACCAAGCAACTCAGGGCGCTTACTGGCCACATGATTAATTGGGTAAGCAATATTTACTAACATGAGTGCCAATCACTAAAGTAATTGGGACGCTAAATGGCCGTTTGATGAATTAGTAAAATAACAATAAATAATGTAGATGCTTATCATCTACATGAGTTATGGCATTAATTAATACTTTTTTTTAAATTTTATTTTATTTTTTTTTTTTTTCTACTGTGTCGATGGACCATCAGATTGAAAATGTATCGTTTTTATATCAGGCATTACTGATTGAATTTTTTCAAGTATTGGTCCCATAAGAGCCCATGCAGACTTTGCATCGTGTTGCAAATAATCTGACATAACGGAAAAAGATTCAAAAGATACATCATTTTTATCGTTTTCATAATAAAATCCACCTGTTTGCAAGGACATTTGTTTTTTGGAAGCACCAAAATAAGTGTAAGGAAAAAGAAGCGCGTAAAATTTCAAAATATCGAACAGCGATTAATTAACATGATTGTATAAGTGAGCTAAACCCTATTTAAGAAAGTAATCGTCATATAAACGGACCTCGTATTCGTGACCAGAGACTCCGAAAACCCCCGAGAGACGATTTCCGAAGCCAAATTATAATTTTTTAAATGATTTCCTGTAACTAGGGGTGGTTTTAGGGGTTAAAACCACCCCTGTACATAAATGAACCTCGAATTCATACTCAGCAACTCGAAAAACCTCCGAGAGACGATTTCTGCGTTGAAATAACAAATATTTTTTCAATAATTCTTGGTTTTGCACTTCATGGGGATGGTTTGGAGGAGTTAATTCACCCTTATTATTCAATATTTTAAGGTAACGCAAGGGTCAGTAGTGATTAATGTTCCTAAACGTCTACAGAATGCGGGATAATAAAATTATTTAAATCGGTGCTGTTCCAGAACTTTACATGTGACAGTTTTTCCGGCTTCTTTACTTTCGGTAATT